GCTTCTAAATGCTTATTTAAATTATAGCTACTGAGCAATTATCAATGAGCAATTAATTTGGCCGTTTAATTACATCAAGCCCAGTTGCTTACGGATATTCAAAAGTATTTGATGATTTCAAATTAAATACATACATACACATCCTCTCCCGTTTCGGTTATCTTCGGGTCTGGGTGTTCACTATGCCTCTCCATCTTCTTCTGTCCCTCCACAATTCCTCTTCTTCCACAAACTGCCACTGCACTCCTCTTGCTTCCACATCTCATCTCACCTCGTCAAATCCACCTTCTTCAAGGTCTTCTTCTTGACCTTCTTCCATTCTTGTGAAGCTCGCTCATTTTTCTGGGGGTTCTATCATTTCCATTCTTCTTAAGTGACCAAATCTTCTCAATCTCGATTAATCTTCTCGTTATCTCAAAACTTCTTCAACTATTCCTCTTTTCAACTCTGCATTTCTAATTCTATCATATCTTGTTTTTCATTTAATACCACTTACAAACTTCATTTTCCCTGCCTGAACCCTACTCCATGCCCTCTCTGTTATACATTCCAAACTTATGCTCCATAGGTATATAATGAGTTTTATACAAATAAAATATTATACAAACTAAATACAAATTAAAAACTCAATAGCTCGTAGAAAATTTACTACTAAAATATAGAACATTTAATGACATCAATGTACCGTGTCACCACGAATGTCCTGGGAACCGTATAGGTACGTCAGCATAGTATATCTCTCATAATGAAAATGAGACTGTACAGTTTAGTGGGCTGTACCGTGATGTCATTAGTGTGGTTGGGCTAGTTTAGCGACGTCACGTGTTAATGAGGACCGGTATGTGACGTCATTATATATGTACCGCTTGCTAGTACTGTGTTGTTCTGCAAACTCATGAATGTGTTTGGCTAAGTTAAATGATGTCATGGGTACCTCCATACTGAGCGTGTTAGCTCTGTACTATGACGGCACAAGTTCGGACTCGACGTAATGGGGACCAATATGTGACGTCATGTTCTATGGACTTTTCATGCTCAAAGTAGTGGTGTGCCTGGGTGAGCTGATCTGGGACGGCACACTTGAGTTTAATGACGTAGGGACTTCTCGTTCTTGCAGAGAGTGCGGGACCTCCCGGATTATGACGGCACGAGTGTGGGCGGTCTATGTCTGTGACGTAATAGGGGCTATGCGACGCCATGCTAGACGGACTTTTCGTAGTGGAAGATGAAGATGAGAGTGTACCGGTAATATGTGTTGGACTGAACCATCACGTCGTGATTATGTTTGGTTTACGTTTGTCACATAAACACCAGTATGTGACCTCATGCTCGATGTGTTTTGTACTTGTTGTAACATTATGATGGTTTATGCCATCACGAGTAAATTTGGTAGCGACATGGGTACTTCTGGTAATAGAATGTGATGGTTTGAGGGTACTGTACTGTATTGTGATTGGTTTAGCGTCATGTTGTTATGAAGACCAAGAAGAACTTTCCGTCATGTTCGATGTGATTTTCGTAGTAGTGTTTGACAAGTCGGTGATATCACGACTGAGTTTTTCATAGTAAGGTTGACCTCATTAGAACCAGTTGATTCTATTCTTGTACTAGAAAATAAGAGTGTGTACTGAGTGGGCTGTACCATGACGTCTTGTTTGAGACAGTAATGTGGCGTCATAGGGTCGACTCCCTGATGTGGATTAACGTCCGCACGGGTGAGTACTACGACTATCCGCAGTACTATCCTGTTAATTAGACCAATTCGTATATACCAAGGGAAAAAAGTGGTTCGGATTCCACTATAAACTGTAGGTCCCTTAGTCGCCATTAGCTGTATGGGCTATTAATTAACAGCTGTGTCAAAGAAATATGTCGACCTAGTCACTAACAAGACTACAAGATCGCGCCACTCATCATACACTCATCTCCATTCATACTTGGCTTAAAATACCTACTTTGAATGGTTGCCATTTCAAAGAAAAGTATAAAGTTTAAAGTTTTGATGCGAGAACGTTGGTTGCAGCTCTTAAAATGGCCATTGGCAATAAAGACATCATCCGATCAAATATCACATCAGGGAAGTTAATTGTCCCGTGGGTTGTGGTTGTGTCCGGCAGTCCATATAGGGTGTCCGGTGATTCATGTCCTCCTACTAGAGCGGTTAATCTGGCAGAACCTGGTCAAGAGACTATCTGGGAACTTGTGAAGTTCAAGGAGACGAGATCAATAGCAGCTCATAGACTTTGAGTTAAAATCATCTTTCAGAATTGTCGAATATAGCTTGTTGTGGTTTATACCTGAAATTTTTGAGTACGGTTGAACATATTGAATAAAATATTGAATTCTACCAAACGTGTACGTAAATTTAATATATGATGTTTTATTTAGCTTGTAAGTGCTCATAGTAAACTTACTACAGAATCCCCTGCCTTGGTAAGAGCCTATCCAAGATGATAAGAAGAGATCTAGTATTTTAGTTAACAACGATCAGCATATCCAGTCGATTGTTGCTCTGTGATCAAGTAGAGACATTTAGGTATCGCTGTTGAAAACTGTATAAAATAAAATCCATACTACATATGTTTAAAGGCAAGATTACTAAGTGTCTCCTATATAAATTTCTACTCATGATAGGGAGGCAACTAGACGTATTTCTACCCGAATGAAGGGTGCAAATAGAATGGAGTGAGACGCCTTGTAGCTTTGTTGATGACCAAGCCCAGCTGTTTCTTTTGCCAAAACCATTAGAATGGAACAAGTTTCACGAAATTCCCAGATGATCCTGGGATTTTGCCAACGATGTTGTCACATTTACTGGATTCTTCTGCGGCATCTGCATACTCCTGCAACAATGAAACCTTTGAAGACCTGTTGTGAATTTAAGTAGGTAGTAATTTTATATTGTATTAGAACTCAGTATTTCAAAAGGTGATTTTTCTATAAGAAGTGTTTAAACAATATAGAAATGAAATAAAAATAAATTTCTGTTCATTTTTCTTCATTAAAGCTGGTAAAATCTATACAGAACAATGGCAAATTTTGTGTACAATATTCAAAAAATTTGAAATATAACTTTACACACTGATTATAAATATACTTAAAGCTACAGGGGAATTTTCCCAGCTTTTACTTATTTTCTACAGAGTTGAGTTAAGAGGAGACTCTTACTACGTTCGTTCATCCAATTAAACATAATTATCTACCTCACTGCCAATAATTGTCCACACCTTGAAGTAGCCACGAAATTACTGTCACGAAGGACTGTTGTTTCGATAGTTTTCACATAACAAATCGAGATGTTGTTGTTCATGCAACCTCCTTAACAAGTTGTGTGGTACAAGTCATACTATAATACTATATGAGAACAAATATAATCGTGCTAAGATGCAAATCGGTGTTCTTGGATTTCAAAAGTTAAGTTTTTATTTCTGATTGAAAAAGTATATAGCTGGATAAGAATAGTAATGTAGGTTGACGAAAGTGAACAAAAAGAGGAATAAAATAAAAATGTCATCAAAAAGAGTATACTTTACTTTTATCATCATTATCAATTGAGATGGGGACGCCACCTAGGTGCGTATTTTAACCCACATTTGAGTAAAGAACGAGTGTAGAATGGAGTGGGTAAATCTGTGTATCTTTGTAACTAAGGTCAGCTGACTCAATTGTTAGGATCATTTATTAAAATCCCAATTATCTGGGACAGCTGGGTCCAGTCACAATTTTGAACCATTAAAAATCTACTGATTTCATGACAGTTTACAGATTCAAAAATATCTGAAAAGTTTTGCAAGTACCTAAATGTATGACTAGTTACTAAATAGAAATGTGGATTCCTTTGTAATTAAGTCTTAGCAAACTGAAGATTTCTTAAATGCGTTTTCCCCTAGGTTTATCTGGTGAACCCAAGATTAGAAGGTGAATGTGTGAGTCACGATTCGTCGCTTCAACAAAGTAAGTAGAGTTTGTATAGAATAATCTAAAACTGCTTCTATTGCTTTTGTTGCTCCACACAGGGATTTTGTGAAAAATAAATTATTTTTAGCGGCAAAATATTTTATCAGCATTTTATTATTTAGCAGAATAAAGTGTGTTTTAAAGATCTGCCTACTTAGCTGAATGTCATTAGTTGATGTGTATTTTAGATTACACTCATCTCCATTCATACTTGGCTTAAAATACCTACTTGAAATACATTTTGATGGTAATTATTAAGTATTTAATATTATACTCGTATTTTTCTATAGGAGGATTGCTTCCTAACATATTTCTCAGAAATTATTAATAATTTAATTTAATTTGATATACAGTTCAATAAAATATGTGTCTTAGATATTTTATGTATAACGCATTTATAACTTGCCTACACGAATCAATACAAAGTCTGATTGCGGTAAGTCGCGTAAAAAGTCAATTTCTATGCGTAAGCTACTATGTAGAGTTTCCTCCGATGCTCATGACTTCCTCCCTAAAAGCGTCTTGGACGATAATTAAAACTTTAATTCATTTCTTAAAAAGCGTACATTGGTCAGAGATAAATTCAGAGATTTTTATTCTCAAGTAGACGTCTCGTCCACAATTCTTTTTTGACCCAACTGTATAAAAATTTTTTTGTCTCAAACAGAACACAGTTGATTGAGCATTTTGCTAGTATCAAAGTACTATTATTATATTTTTTAAGCTCTTAAAATTCTTAATACTTTGATGCTTTAGTTCACGTTGACAATACCGTAGTGAATATTCTCTTCAGATTTGCATGAGTAAGAAAAAAATTTAACTTACAGTAGCTCAGTCGAACTGAGATCCAGTCAGAAAAACACAGTCATATTGTACAATCTATGAAGTGGTAGTTCAATTGTGCATCCTTATGTTTCATCGTCTTGCTCCACTTGTGGTTGATATGGGGAAAGACTAGTCACTCTTGGATCGGCACCTATGGGTATTCCAAAGGAGATGGGATATCTACAACGCCGGTACAGTGGTGGTGGTAGTAGGTGTGATATACGCACACTAGTGTAGTCAGCTCAGTACTCCGTCCACCACCATGGCGTCAACACACTGCTGTATCTGTGTGTTAGTGTGTGTCGTTGTTAGTGTGTCAGCACTACTGTTGGAACAGCCAGGTAAACAATGTTGAGTAATAACAGTGAAAAGACAATTTAAACCATAAACAAAATAACTTATTAATTTGATACTGCAGTAATTCAATTCAAATTTGTTAGAGGACGTAATTAATTTAATTTGTAAAATTTAATTAATTGTCAATAATAATCGATGGAATGGAATACAAGTTACTATAGTGTTACTGTGCACTTCATGTAATTAAAATGTATCTATTTCCGTGCGTGCCCTGTGTGACAATTGGGAACTTTTTATTGCATGAATGCAGAATTTTGAAGCCTGAACTTGAATTTTAGAAATAAAAGAATGTTATAAATGTAAGAATCACATATTTCCAATACGATTATAACAAAAAATACTGCGATTCTAATAGGCATTGTTCCATTACTAATTCAACAAGTTTATTTCATCTCCAATACAATTTGTGTGTTAATGTTGTAAAATGAATACTGGAAACGTAACTTAATAATGATCTAAAAATATAGACTAACTTTTAACTTAATGCTAATTTTTTAGCGAATTTCCCATATAGGGAATAAGCTATTACCGTAGTACTCATGGTAAGACCTGGACCCGAGACCGATCTAATTTTTCATTTTGAGGTCTCTAGAGGCCAAAAACACAATCCATTCAAATTCATATATATATATATATATATATATATGTGTCCGTTAGCGCGATAACTCGAGCAAAAATGATCCGATTTTGATGAAATTTGGTACAAACGTGTAAACCTACGTTTATTCGAACGAGTTCGCGATCCAGCATAATCGGACCATGGGAACGGGGGATTATGGGGGGTTTTATGGGGTAAAAATGGGTTTTTCCTATTTTTCAACCTAAAAACAAAAAAATTTGCGATTTATTTCTAAAAGTTTTGTAGAGCTTAAAAAAAGAAATAATTTAGTATATTGAAGCGCTGTTGTATGCCTAACGGTGACGGAGAAAATTCAAAAATAGTGTAATTAAAAATTCCCATGTTATTCATATGGAGAAAATGAAAATTGTTGTAGTTTACTTGTTTATGGGTATATATTGATACAATTTGGCCAATTTATTTATTTCATCCTAGATACTATTGATGTATGGTCAAAAAACACTTTTTACCTTCCTCGTAGCAGCAAACCTAAGCACTTGTTAAATCTAATGTTATTTAAATAGGGAATAATATGTCTTATTTATTGAAATATTTTAGTAAAAATGTAATCAGACAAGTTGAAATTCGCTTAGTCTGCAGGTTTGCTGCTGCGGGGGTATTTTATGAATCGCAAAGAAGCGCTATTTGAAGGCCCATATTGGCCATGGACCGCGGAAGACACGATTAAACAATATTACCATAGTGGCGTTATTGAAGTTGTTACCGGCACCGTACACTATTATAAATGCATTGATTTATTCTAAACGTAAACGTAGATTTTTAGGTAAAGAGCTAATTATTTAAAATTAAATTATTAGATACGAGGTGTTAGCCCGTCCTACGTACGGGAGTAGTCAGTTAAAACTGTGTATAAATCAGAACAGCTAGCTTACACGTATAAAGACAAATTGTATAGCAGCCTACAGTAGAAAGAGTAATTATCAATTGAGAAAGTGTATAGGCCTAGTCAACGATATCACCTTCCAATTACATCGCATACCTGCCTCTTCCATAATCAATATCACCACAATACAATTACTCATACTATACACAATTTCCAGTAGGTATGAATAGAAACACCCTAAAATAAAACAAAAACATCCAATAAAATTCACAGTACACATAATTATAACGTTGGTGTCCTGACATCATTAAACGAATCGTCCACACATATCCTTTATATCAATTTCACTGCATCAATTGCTAAATGAAAAAGTAGAGAAAGACCAAAATAAAGCATAATTTGCGTTTCTTTCATCCTTCATTGATTTGAAAAGTTTGTATTAAAAATACATTTTGCATCAATTTTTGTTTTTGGATTTTCCTTCAAAAAATCAACTAAACATTTATATTTAATACTTTTACAAGAAACAATATTTAGTAAACAATTGACTTTACTAAGAATTTAAATTAGTTTTATGTATAGCTATTAATTTGTTTAGGATCTACGAATGAATGCAATTTTATTCAATAAATCATTTCAAGAAATAAACAAACAAATTATAATGACCACTTATAAATACAGTGCAATGTATTAAGCCACTCTAAATAGTTTCTTGACATTGTTCAGTATATCACATAAAACTAATATCAGAAGAACGGAAATTATTGTAATCGGATCTTCCTGGTCAGTTGAAACTTTGTAGCTTTAATATCAAAGTAGGCCATTTAATCGTTTAAAAAGTTGATTTCTTAGGAATCCAGCGATTACATATCTCTTCGCAGCTTGTTTTGACCAACAAACTGTTTGGAAACGATCAAGGTTTGATGTTGCTGAACATTGTAGAGTTGTAGTAAAGCATTTCAACAATTACACGGCAGTTTCATGCAAATTGCAATTGAATTATTTATTTCTTTGTTTTAACAATATTTAATACTTCCAGAATTCTTTTTGAACGTTAGAATCGGTTAAGTGCTTTTATCTTGTTAAAAAACAACTATGTCCATTAAAAATTACCCTTATACACGCTGTAAAACAGCTATCATATCTCATAAACTTGCGTATAAAAAAGTAAATACAGTACTATTAATTAATTGTGATTTTAAATCCAGCAACGGTGTGTTTTTATTTAATACCTTAAATAAAAACACACCGTATACCACCGTCCTCGTACTTGTTTTTATTAATTTTTTTTCTATTTACAACAAAACTATATATTAGTTAAATAATTATATTGGACGAAACATATTACCTGTACATTGTGCCGTTACACAAATTACAATAAATTTACAATGTCCATACAAATACAGTTAAAGTTGGTTGTAAAAGCGGGCATGCTATTTAATAAAACCGCGATAGTTTGATGATTTCATTTAATGTACATTAAGTACTTTTTTATGGCAAATATTTTTTTTTTAATCCCTTTGCCACACCAAACTATTCTGATAATACACTCTCCCAATGCTATGTCTCATGTATAAAAAAGAATTTGTAAGAGTCAAGTTTCATGAAAATGTAGCGTTTTACGAAATGTATGTCAACGTCAACGTTTGGTTTTCCTCCGTGATGAAATGCACGTGTAGGACTTCCAGGACATGAGAAAACGCAATATATTCGTATCAAGGTCAAATACAATATTTGTTACCGTACTGTAATTAATTTTTTAATTTAGTTTTTTACAAAAAGTAAAACGTTCGTGATTTTAACGAAAGAATATGATTACTTGATTGGTGTAAATTAATTGCAACGTTCAAAATAAACACAGATATGTGATTTCCGTACCCACTAATGCTTGGAAATTCCTCAACATAACACAACTTTTAAAAACCTTATTTTTTTACATTTAAACTCCTTACCCTAATCTTCAGCATGTGACCGATGTTGACATTATAAGGAAACCGGCAAAAGATTTTTTTCTGGGGAAATACAATAGCCTAGTGTTTAGAGTACTCAATCAACTAGAGTCAATTTTTGTCGAATTAGCTGCACGATTGAAATGTAACATATTTGATTTTTACCGGTCTAAAGATTTGTTTTGATTTTACCGGCCACATTGTCTGGGAGTTGTTAGTGCTATGTGAAGTAGTTGCATGACAATAAAGATTAAATGATTTCAAATTATACAGAAAGGTGAAAGAGTTGGTTTAGTAATGGTTAGTAGTACCGGTAATGTTCTTTTCTCATTTTACTTAGGTTCGATTATTTTTGTGAAATGAAATGTCATTTTCTTTTAATGATTAATAACTACACACCTACCGTTGCACCCTTTTTTAAACTAAAATCTATTAAGTATAACTTTTGTAAGCAACTAAAAATCCGTCTGATCCTCAATCACTTAAAATCTGGTGATTAATCAAAGTTAAATTTACATGAATGGAGCTTGAACAAGATGACAAAAATTCGATCACATAAAGGTAAAAATGTTTAGTCTGAATAATAACTAAGGAAGTTTTATTGTCGGTCTTTTCGCTGACGATGCGTTTCTGAACCAGCTGACTCAGGAATCATGCATGTCAAACCACTCAAGTCAAATCAACTTTTGGCAATACTCATGTAAACAGTGAAATAACAAAATACCTCGCGTACGTTCTATGGTTGACAAAAACAAAAATACTGTAAAACTGTATCCAGTGTTACTATGATAATACTAAAACGAGGAAATCACGGCAAACATACATAAATAAGTTAATATTCAGATTATTTATTACTAAGCGGAAAGGAAATGAAATCTATTGTATTCTATGTACTATATTATACGTGATTCGCTAATTTAAACAATATGCAGCCAATGCGTTGAAAAAAAAACATCAACACCAGTAAAAACGCGTTTATTCGTGCGGAGATATTTTAGCACTTGTAGTTACAAATTATATCTTATCGCTATTTATTTCTATTGCGCTTGACATTTTATTCATGGTCAAATTGTGACAATAACACCACAGCCAAAGGTGGGTACCACCACTGCCCTATGATCCAATTACGGACTTGTATGAACTTTGATGACAAACACTAATAAAACACACCAGGGACCCTGACATTACGGAAGCCACGACTATGACAACACACGCATGACATGTGCAATGACATACACTGACATCTTATGGGGCATATGATACACGCCTTCGTGAAACATTTCAACATACCGCCATTTATATGGGTCTAGTTCTTGCTGATTAGCTTAGGAGGTGATTAGTTTATGTTCTAAATTTATCTACATTATTTGTGTTATAATGACTCGTGTTATATATCTGTTTATGTGGTTTGAGGAAAAATCTTTTACACCAGTTTTTTTTTTTAATTTTTATTTTTACCTAATGTATGTTGCAGCTGACCAACGTTTTGGTAAACCTCAGCTGTTAGGCTATTGTTTTAAAAGGTATATTACTGTACTACCTAATATTAAGTCTACTCGTCAACGCAAAGAA